TCGGGTGGAGGAAGCCAATGTGTTCTTTCCTCAGTGTAGAATGGCAACAATGGAGAAGGCTAGTACCATCTGGTATATTGATACCGGATGCAGTAACCATATGACTGCACAAGAGTCATTAGTCATTGATATTGACATTTCTTTCAAAGGCAGAGTTAAAATGGGAAATGGAAACTTGGTTGATGTTGTTGGCAGAGGAACTCTAGTTATTGAAAGCAAGAAAGGAAAGAGATATATTAGAGAAGTAATGCTTGTACCAGGCCTTGATGAGAATCTTTTTAGTGTTGGGCAGATGATTAAACACAAGTATTTTCTCTTGTTTGGTGACTCTATGGTAGAAATCTATGATGATAGATCACTATCAAACCTGGTGGCTAGGGTATTGATGAAGGATAACAGAAGCTTTCCTCTTCTTTTGAAACATATGGATTTAATTGCCATGAGAACAACTGTGATTGAAAATGCTTAGCTATGGCACAGAAGGCTAGGGCATCTCAACTACCAGAGTCTAAAGAATTTAAAGAGCAAGGAGCTAGTGTATGGACTACCAGAGATTGATGAAGTGAAGGAAGTGTGTGAAGGCTGTGCAATAGGAAAGCAGCATGGGGAACCATTCCCTACAAGTCAAACCTGAAGAGTAACTGAACCACTAGAGCTGATTCACAGAGATGTTTGTGGCCCAATGAAGACTGCAACACTTGGAGGTACCAGGTACTTCTTGACCTTCATTGATGATAAAAGTAGAATGTGTTGGGTATACTTGTTAAGGCACAAATCTGATGTTTTCACTTTGTTCACAAATTTCAAACAAATGGTTGAGAGACAAAGTGGTTGGGAAATCAAAAAGTTGAGAAGTGATAGAGGTGGGGAGTACACCTCACTTGAATTTGGTAAGTTTTGTGAAGATATAGGCCTTGAGAAGCAATTGACAGTAGCCTACAGCCCCCAACAAAATGGAGTGGCTGAGAGGAAGAACATGACCATAGTTGAGATGGCTAGGTCAATGCTTCATGAGAAAGGAATGCCTTATCATTTTTGGGGAGAAGCAGTTAACACTGCAGTGTACCTATTAAATAGATGTCCAATTAAAGTTGTGGAGAACTTAACACCATTTAGAGCCTACAGTGCAGAAAACCCTCTGTGAAACACTTGAGAGTGTTTGGATTAGTGTGCTATGTTCACACTCCTACACAACTTAGACACAAGTTGGAAGAAACAAGCAAGAAATGTGTGTTTGTTGGTTATGGAAACTGTGAGAAGGGATATAGGCTATTCAATGTCAACACTCAGAAAGTTGTAATATCCAGGGATGTTATATTCGATGAAAAAACAAAATGGAGTTGGGAAAATAGCACTGAAGTGCATCTCTCTTTGCCCCTTGATGAAAGTTACTCTAATTCAAGAGAGTACCGAGATCAAGAAGAATCTGATATAGCCCCTGAAATCCACACACCAACTCAATCTCCATCTTCATCTCCAACATCAACACCTTTAAGTTCAAGTGGAAATTCTCAAACCACAGACTCACTACAATCCACTCCAAGTTCAACTCCTATAAAGTTGAGAAGCTTGAATGAAATATATGCTTCCTACAATTTTTGTACTGTAGAACCAGAAAATTTTGGAGAAGCCAAAGGTGATATGGCATGGCAAAAAGAAATGGAGGAAGAAATGTCGGTTATTGAAAAAAACTCAACCTGGGAGTTGGTTAATAGACCAAGTGACAAACCTGTCATTGGGGTTAAGTGGATATACAAGACCAAGCTCAATCTAGATGGATTTGTGCAATGGAACAAGGCAAGTCTTGTTGCCAAAGGGTACTCACAACAACCTGGAGTTGATTTCAATGAAACCTTTGCCCTAGTGGCAAGGTTAGACACAATTAGAACCCTAATAGCCTTGGCAGCACAGAAGGATTGGAAGCTATTCCAATTGGATGTAAAATCAGCCTTTCTAAATGGTGTGCTAGAAGAAGAGGTCTATGTTGAACAACCTGAGGGTTTTGAAGTCCAAAATGCAGAGGATAAAGTGTACAGGTTAAAGAAGGCTCTGTATGGGCTAAAGCAAGCACCTAAAGCATGGTATGGGGAAATAAACTCTTATTTCACCAAAAATGGGTTCCACAGAAGCTCCAGTGAAGCTACCTTGTAGACCAAGAAACAAGGAAATTCGAATATTCTCATTGTATCTGTGTATGTTGATGATGTGGTATTCACAGGTAACAATGAAGAAATGCTCAATGATTTTAAGCATGATATGATGAATCATTATGAGATGTCTGACTTGGGGTTGCTACATCACTTCCTTAGCATTGGTGTTCTGCAAAATGACACTGAGATTTTCATTCACCAAATGAAGTATGCAAAGACCTTGTTGGAAAAATTTGGACTAAAGAACTACAAATCTGTGTGCACACCTTTGGTTGCAAATGCAAAGTTAAGTCAAGATGATGGAACTGAATCTGTGGATCAAAGCCTATACAGAAGCTATGGGGAGTCTGCTTTACTTAACAGCAACAAGACCTGATATTATGTATGCTGCAAGTCTTCTCTCTAGATTCATGCATTGCCCTAACAAGACTCATTTGGGAACTACAAAAAGGGTTCTGAGATATATGCGAGGCACAATTGATTATGGGATTCACTATGAGAAAGGGCAATCCTCAATTTTAATTGGGTTCTGTGATAATGATTGGGGAGGCAGTGAAGATGACTCAAAGAGCACCTCAGGATATGCATTCTCTTTTGGGTCTGGTGTCTTCTCATGGGCTTCTGTCAAGCAAGAAACTGTTGCATTATCAACAGCAGAAGCTGAGTATGTAACTGCTGCAGAAGCAACCTCTCAAGCCATATGGCTTAGGTTTGTGTTGAAAGATTTTGGTGAGATGCAATTGGAAGCTACTCCACTGATGTGTGACAACACAACAGCAATTGCAATGACTAGAAATCCTGTATTTCATCATAGGACAAGACACATAAAAAGAAAGTATCACTTCATCAGAGATACTTTGCAACAAAATGTGATTCAGCTACTGTACTGCAAAACTGAAGATCAAGTGGCTGATGTCTTCACCAAGCCACTACCTAAAGAAAGATTTACCTACCTCAAAGGGTTGTTAGGAGTCAAGTCTGGAAATAGCTTAAAGGGGAGTGTTGAAATGTAAGCTATATTGCAGACTTGAAGGTTCGAAGGCAGGACCAAAAGGAACTTAAAAGCTGCAACGACTAGTTTGTGAAGGAATGAAGCATAGGATTCTAGTTTTTCAGAGAACAAATGTAAGGCTAGGATTAGAACTAGTGTGGGGCTGTGATTCATATATCCAACTGTCCATTTGAAGGATGTGTACTATCTGCAATACTTGCAGATAAGTAGTAAGAATGTTTTTGGAAAAAGAACGATGAATGAAATCTGAGTGCTGCTGCCATGTTTTGCAGTCACTGAAATTCTCCCAAGAATTCCTTTTTGTTCTTCCTTACCTCTGTTGTTTCTCAATCATTCCCTAAATATCCAATTTCTAACAAAAACGACTTGTAAGGAAGTACAAAACATTGGTTGCGAAGAGCAAAGGTGTTTTTTGGTTTGATTTGAGTGTCCTATCTTCAAGCTCTCTTTTCTGCACAGTCCCCCTTGAAACAAGTTGACGATGTGATTTATTGTCAGAGATAAAGGTAATATCCCAAAGTCTTGACCCTTCAAACCTCTGGAACTCTTAAATTGCCACTATAAAGCAGCCAAATCACGTTGACCTCGACTAGAGTGTCACCTCAGGGAGACTTAGTTACTTATTAACTATTACCACGTGTCGTGTTGTCTTCAGACTTTGGCTGGGGTCTCGCGTTGGCCTTTTGGGACTCTGAAATTGATCAGCTCCCTTGAGCTTTTAACAGGAATAGGTAGGGCTGGGCCTTAGTTAATTTTGGCTTTAATTATGTTTAATGTTCTGCATTCGCGGTTCTGTAAAGTATTTGCAACTACTTGAGTGAAAAGAACTCTTCCACTAACTCACGAACAGCAAACATATCAATTTTAAATGGTCAGTACTTAAAAAGGGAACAAACAAAAACTTCACTTTTTACCTTCCATTCTGAGCTATCATGAATCCTGAGATTTCCAAAGCTTTCAATTTCTTGTTTTCTCAGAAAAGAAACACCCTTTACCCACCTCCTCCACCGTGGATTGCTTTGGACCAGCTGCTGATCCAAATCAAAATTTTATGCCCCGAAGACAGGGATTTAAACAGCATGTGTGTTTCCACCTATAGACCTATTATGCAATCAAGTGAGACTTGTGATCTGTCCTTTCATTTTCATTCATGGTTTACTGGCCCTGCCTTTGCCGCTCTTCCCGTCGTTCTTTCAGAACCTTCAATGCTATGTTTATGCTCCACACAAGGCAATAATGCAGAGTAGTCAATTTACTAACCACATGCGGATGCACTGAACTCGGGGAGGTGCTTCACTGGGCTTGTTGATAAATTTGACGAGTTAGGAATAATTTTTTTAGCTATTAAGCTTGATTGTGGAAGATATACACCAACTTGCTGTGCAGGAAATAACCTTCATTCATATCTCTAGGCTTTGTAATGGTTTTCACTGAAAAGAAATAAAATGGCTTTGTAACAGTGTCGCTTACCATTTAGCTAAGTTTAGTCTTTCAGTTGATACTTCTATAGTTTGGTTCGAGAAGTCTGTAATGCTATATGGAATGTCATCTTCCAAGACTCGTTTTGTAATTGAAGTTTTTCATCAATATAATAGCATTTCTACTAATAAAAAATAAATAAAAAATATTTCCAATGCATGTTAAAAGCTAAGGAAAATTAATGGTGATGATTTCCAGTGTAATGAATTTGTATCAGCAACATAGAATTGATGGAGTTCTTGTCAACTTAATTAGCAATGAATAAATGAATGATCTTTATTCACAGAACATTATGTGTCTCTGTGTGTAGATAATCATCTGTACAAGTCTTTTGATGCCTAGATTTTTGTTGAATGCCATCACAAACAACTAGTTGGGTGTACAAGGCCAAAAGTCTTTCCAATTGCATTGCTACAATATGACTGAGCCACTTGCTTCTTGCAGGTCAAGCTCACGTTTTCGAGTGTTATCCCTCTGCAAGGATTTTCTGCACTGCAATCAAGATTTACCGCGATTGCTGTTGCCGATGTCCCTTGAATGTTTCGGAACAATATATCACTGACTTTCACACCCGATACCTATATGTTGAAGCACAATAGACGGAAATGTTTAAAGAGACAGTAAGTAGAGAGGAATTAAGGACGTACATTATTAACCGCATGTATATATTAAATGAATTAAGCTTATACCTGACCAGGACAGTTGAGGTTGTGTGGGCAGTAATTTTGGTCTATGATAATGGGATTTTGGACATTGAGCATGACGACGTCAAGGAATTGGACACTATGAACAAACCCGTGGCTCGGCCTTGCCCAAGACTTAATCCTCAAACCATTTTGGCCACCCTTGAAAATTGCATCCTTCACTGTCACATTTTGAACTCCTTCCTCTTCCAAGTCTTTGCCCAAACTCCCTATGCTGCAATTACCGCACCCTTGTAAGCATAACCCTAAACTACTACTAACTATTTAGGAGTAATTATTGGTGGTCATTAAATGAATGGGGCCACATGTTAAAACTAGTCCATGTGTTATAATACAAGTGAACGTAAACTTATGTATAGATAAGCATGGCAAGCAACTACTATAATCTAACCTAATGCCGTGACTTGGTCCACACGATATGTGCTCAATCCACAAGTCCTTGGTGCCGGGGCCAATTGAGACGCAATCATCTCCCGTTTTGATGGAGGTGTCGAAGATTGCAACATTTCTTGACAATTGAACATGGATGCCATCAGTGTTCGGGCTATTGCCGGCTGCAATGATTTTGACCCCTTGAATGTGAACATCTTGGCACCCGTTTATAACAATGTGGTACATCTGGCTGTTCAACGACAGCAGTCCGTCGATCCTAATGTTTTTGGAGTTTGTAAAACTCAAACTCTTCGATCCCCAGTCCGGAAAAAATAATTTAGTTACATGTATTACATGATATACTTCTTGAAAACCTTGACAAGAAAAAGGAAATTACTAACCGTTGCTCCGTTGGGGCAATCAGTGCTTCCCGCTAACTTGCATGCCCACAAGGAGGTGCCTTTGGCGTCAAGTCCACCTCCAATAATGGAAACGCCGGTAACTGTTTCGAAGCTTAGCCAATTGTCAGCTTGGCCAAGAATTTGGTAGTCAGACGAAGCGACGAGTGTTCCATCAATCCAAAGAGTAATACCTGGGCTTTTGCAGTTGTCACCTTTAAAAACCATAGCACTCGGAAGCAAATACCTCCCTTTTGGTACCGTAATCGTACTGGAATCCAAAGAGGCACAAGCTGCATTCCACGCATCCATAAAAGCTTGGGTGGAATCAGTTACTCCATTGGGCTTAGCTCCGAAGCTCAGGATATTGAGAACTAATGTAGTACCCTCAGCAATAAACGAATGGTGTAAGATAAAGAGAATCATGATTGGTAGTACGCTGGCTCTGGTAAAACAACTTGCAGACTCATCCATTTTCTTTCCTTTCTTTTCTGCGTGGAAGGGAGCGATCAAGAGAGAAATTAAAGAAGAGATTAAACGAAAACAATTAGGATGTCAGAATGCAACGGAATGTAGTTGAATATTTTTGCTAGAAGGTGAAGGTAGCTGTAGGAATTGAGAGATTGATGGAGAATAACTGAAGTATGTAGGGTATTTATAATCTTCACGGTGCATGCATTTATGCAGTAACTAATTAAGCTAACTAGTATATGTTGTATATAAAATATATACACACAGGATGGTGTAGATTTCAAGTAAATTAAATTATTATATTAATTAGAAATGGATGCCTTTACATGGAAAGCATTTCTGAAGAAAGCTGCGCCGGAAATAATTAAGCCCACTATAATTTGATGCTCACGCTCTCCCCAGAAATTAATTACTATATTTGTGCACGCGCGTCTGCTAATCAGTTACCATAGATATACGTTATATTATATTAGATTAAGCTTGTAAAGATTCGGCATCAATATTACCCATTATTTATTATTTTTTGTCTTATAGCCGTTTGATTTGATTTTTACAATTATTTAATTTTCTATCCAATCTTTATTATTCATTTTCCTCATCATTCATAATTGAGTACCAGGGAAGACTAAATTTTGAAATTAAATGATGTGATTGTATATGATTGAATTATTACTTAAGTGTTGATTAACTTACTTATTTTCTATTGATGACACATCATTTAGTTTGCAAAATTTAATTTAAAATTTTAGTCTTCATAGAATTACCTTATAGTGCATCACTCTAATCATTTAATGAAAAAAAGTTTATAGCTTTAATATTAATTTGGCCGTTGGCTTGTTAATAAATCAACTCATCCCAAGTGAAATGTACTTAATTTCCTTCATGGCCACTCATTCCTCAGTGGAGTAACCCTAAAGAACACCGAGGGATTATCCAGAATTTATTGTGCCTTATTCAAAACCCAAAACACATTGTATTAGAATTAATTTTTTTCTTCTTTATCAGTATGTTTGGATGAAGAAATTTAAGACTACTAAGAAATTTTAAAATGAAAAAAATTGAAATGACGGAATTTTATTTTTTAGAATTTGTGAATTTTCTTTTTTGGTTAACTTAAAAGAACAATGTAATTGAATACGGAATTTGTTACTTTTAAACTCTCAATCATAGAATTGGGGAATGATACTTATTTACATGGAATTTAAACTTAGGAATTCTAAATTTAAACTTAGGAGGTCCCAAATTTCAAGTTTTTTTCATGCAGAAATTCTAAATTTCTAAGTTTATGAATTCAAACAAGGAAATTGGTGCATGTCAATTTATAAATTCTGATTTTAATCCAAATTCCAAGTTTATTTCTCTCATCCAAACATAGTGTAATTGTCACATCCCGGCCTGGGGCTCCCACCACATCCCAGGCTCGACTCCACCGTAGCACGATATTGTCTGCTTTGGGCCCCGACCACGCCCTCATGGTTTTGTTTCTAGGAACTCACACGAGAACTTCCCAGTAGGTCACCCATCCTGGGATTGCTCTCGCGCGCTACTTGCTTAACTTCGAAGTTCCAATGGAACCCGAAGCCAGTGAGCTCCCAAAAGGCCTCGTGCTAGGTAGAGATGAGAATAAACATATAAGGATCACTCCCCTGAGCGATATAGGATCTTACAGTAACTCTGCATTTCTCTAATTTTATTTTATTTTATATAAGTGATTTTAAGGGATGAGCGACTTAAACAACAAGAACAATGGGCTCTATTACATGGTAATTTTTTTTAATTATTTAAAGCTACAAATCACTTAAAAATTCACTATTTTTTCTTTTTTATCGTTTGCTCTTAAAAAAAAAAAAAAAAGCCCAAACATACTAAAAAATTATAATTTAATTTGCAAGTGCGAAAAATGTGAAAAATTATGCAAACACTCGTGCTTGCATTCTCTACGCTTGGAGACATTGTCGTTTGAATTTTTAAAACCCTAGAAGCTCTCGTTAATAGTATTTCTAGGGTAGCTCAAAATAAATAAAAATTCTTAAAAATAGATGTACAATTGTGAAAAATCTGAAAGAATATATAAACATTTGTGATTGCATTCTCCACACATAGATCACGGTTACATCTTCATTTATATTTTAAACCCTCATGAATAGTGTTTTTTATTTGAGTGCAAAATTAATAAAATTCATAATAATTATTGTAGACGTGTGAAAAATGTAAAAATAATATACAATCACTCTAATGACAAGTTTTAGAACTTTCTTGAAGGGGTCAACTCAAAACACAGTCTTAGAATTCTTTTTTTCTTCTTTAACTTTGCACTTCTCTGTTTCTTATTTTATTTTATAGAAGCAATTTTAAGGGATGAGTGACTTAAACACAAGAGCTGACACACCCCAACCGAGATCAGGGCATGCTGGCCGTCACGTGGAAGTGACGTAGCCATGTGCACAGTGCGGAAGCTAAAACAGTAATATAAAAGTGCAGATAATTTAAAAACTAGCAAATGTAGTGTGATAGAATATGTGCTAGCGTAATTAAGACACTGAATTCAGAGCCTAAGGCCTACAGCAGTCCAAAAGAAACAATACAACAAAAGTGCACCCGAAGGTGACCCTACGTAGATGAGTGTCTGTCAAAATGCCAGGACGTCCTCCGGGAAAACCACCAAACCCGCTAAGCTACTAGAACCTGGAGGGGCGCAAAAACAAAAGCGTGAGTGGGCAAAACAAATCTCTTAGAAAACCATTTCATAAAACATATTATAACCCCTCGCCGTAAAACCTGTATACTTCCCAGAAGTAAACATATACACGTAGATATGCCAAGTCATGCTCAAAGGTATGCCATCTCAAACTTCATAACAACATGCAAGTGCTCAGGTATAAATCACATCGATATCATAACATCTGACAGCCGGAGTCCCCTAAGTGACCTGTACGGCTGCATCTAGAGCTCAAATCTCAATTTCCATAACTAAACCTGCCCACGAGTCGGAACCACCTAAAGTGGTCTGTACGACAGGCCTGGGTGTAAAACATATGAACGCTCTAGTGCTACGATCACGTGAAGGCTGTGCGAATAATCGTGGGTCACCTACGAGTCGGAACCACCTATAGTGGTCTGTACGACAGGACTGTGCACCTAACTTGGATTCAAGCTGAGCGTGTAGTGCGGGAGGTGAACAACACGTGAAGGACTGTACCCTACTCTGGGCGGGAGCACTAACACCGGGGGTGCAGGTTATGAGCTCTCTAAGCATCTCTAACCGTTATTTAATGCAATCGTTAAATAATGCTTACCTGGCTACTTACCTACGCCTCCACAGCACCAACATATAAAATGCAATCATAAATGGATATGTACTTAAACGTATATGCCACCAATCATGCATAAACATCAATCATATAAAAAGAATGGCATAAAACAAAGCATTTATACTAATTTCTGGGAATTTATACGTATATAGGTATATACGAAAAACAAAAGCCCACTCACTGGTATGTGGAAGGGTCGTAGCCCCCCTGCCTGGAATGTGCACGCTCGTCCTCGGGATACGTGTCACCTATATGCGAATTAACTATAAAAACGTTAACTTTAAAGCACATAACCGTTCGTTCAAAATAACTTCTCATACATTGCTCAAAATGGACAAATGAACATACCAACGTGATCTACACAACCTCACGATCATAACCATATTTTTAAAATAATTTTTGAACCCCGCACGCGCCCCCACGCGCCAGCACAGACACGGACCCACGCACCCCCACGCGCGGCCACGTGCCATGCACGTTGACGGCGTCAAGTGACGCCGTCAGGAATATTCCCTGGAACTGACGGAATATTCCGTTAACCCTGACTGACGCCGTTAACGTCCGTTAGGAATATTCCGTTAAACCTAATGGAATATTCCCCTGTCTTCTCCGATCAACCCTCGCCGGACTCCGGCCACCGGAAAACTGGGAAAAATTAAAACTTACTATTCTTTATCGTTTCTCAACCATTTTTCACGTATTTTATACCAAAATGAAGCCCTAAACCTCATCTACCACGATGGACTAGTTTTAGAGCCTAAAAACAACGGAAATCAAACTTTCTAAAATACGAAAATCCGGCCAAACTTACAGTTCGTGATTCCGACGTCCAAAACCGTCCAACGAAGTACTCCGAGGCTCCTCGTGACACCACCAAGCTGCCTACGAGCTTAGAAATCCCAAAAACTCAATGAATAACCTTTGCATGAATAGTACTCAAATCGGCCATTTTCGAAACAACGTGAAAACAAAGGATTTCTCACCTGTAAAGGGTATGGCTGTGCTCACCTCGACCTCACGAGTTCAATGGTGTAGTTGGTTTCTACGATCTGTTAGGATTTGGTGGGTTGTGGGTTTGTCCGTACGTTTACAAAGGGAAGAAGGAGGAATGGAGCTCGGGGGAGAGAGAGAGAGAGAACAGTCAGAGGGAGAGGGAGAGAAAGCAAGTGTGGATGTGTGTGTGTGGGCCAACACATGTCCACACCACACAAAACACCAAAAACGTAATAAGACAAACTAGGGGTAAAACGGTAAATTTACATGTACGGTTCGCTACTTCCGGGACGGGATGTCACAAGAGCAATGGGCTCTAATACATGGTAATTTTTTTTTTAACTATTTGAGCTACAAACCACTTAAAATTTTGCTTTTTTGATCTTTATTATTGTGTCTTTCTTGTGTTTCAATGATCAAAACTCTGGATTAAGAATAAATAGTTAAAATGGCCTGTAAGTGAGGAGGGCAACAATTCAGTTCGGTGATGGATGTGTGATATTCATCCTCAAAAGTTATTTTATACCCATAACCAAAAGTTCACCATTCGATATTCTCCATAGCCATACATGCCGAGTAATGAATTCCTCATCAGTTAACGACTTGATCCATTTCACCAATGTAATAAATAAATTATATGCTTGTAATTAATATTTAAAAAAAAATTAAAAAAAAGATAATGGTACTCGTTAAATTGAA